ATTCTGTGCTTTCCAAGCATTTTGGCACTTGTGGACTCTGCATATACAACCCATAAATTTCTATGTCATTAATAGTTGAACAGATTTTGATATACCAATGTTGATATAATTTCAGACAAAAGCAAAAGAAACATATTTAAAGTAATCTTACTGATTTTGTTTAGGCTCTTCAAAATAGTAGAAAATAATCTGCAGGGTCCACTTAGTGTTTAGATCTAGGCTAGAATTTTAACAACTTCATTAAGATTCTCCAGAGACTCAGGAGTCTCAGGTTTAGAACCAATGCAACTAACTGTATCACATAATCACCCTGGTGTTCCCAAAAGAAAATAGTGACAATGTGCAATAGTTGTACAAACTAACATGACTAAGAAAAATCTCAAGGGAATATGTAAAGGAAATCACACTGCTTTTCAGACATACACATTAAAAACTATGAAAATCGTTAACTCTTTATCCAATCTAAATTCCTCTGCTCAAAGGAAAATAAGAGAAACCTAGAGTGATTCATAATTCTGCATTTTGTTTGAATTAAGATAAGACATTAGTGTATTAATATACCCTTCATTATTAAGTTATTTCAATACATATAGTTTTTAGTAATTTCATAACCTTTAGTTTTAGATAGATAGGATTTATATTTTCTTCCTAAGAAGAAAAAAAATTACTTGTTGGTTAGTTTGGGTACAAAATTCTAATCTTTAAGGTACACAGAATATGTGACAGTAGATTACATTTATTTTTTAAGCCAAACCAGATGCTTAATGAATAAAAAGATAATTATATTGGTCTTTAAAAATTAATCCTTATTTTAACAATATCTACTGGGAATAGTGCATTGATTGAAAGTTTGGATTTTTTTTTACCCTTTTGCTCTGTTTTTTTCCTTTTGCTCTGGTCATTATTCTCTACCCCATGCCTCTTGATTTCAAATAGAGATGCTACTGCCTTTTATAACTGAAAAATCAGCATTCATTTAAGTTGTGAGTCATGCTTACTTTATAAGAGAATTTATCTGTTATAGAATTATTCTTTTAGCAAACAATTTTTGGGAGATTATCACTGTGTTAGAATTTGAGTCTACTAGATATTGCCCACTATTATTTAAATGGAATCTACATACTCTGACTTTCTTGGATAAGTCACTCTTTTACTTAGGCCAATAAAAGATTAAAATTCCAAATCTGTTCTTAAGAAATACTTCACAGTTTCATAAAGCAAATGGAGTGAAAATCATTTGTAATTTCAGTCAGATTTCATTAAAAAAATAACTGGTATAAAAGAGAAATGACTTTTCCCCCACATCTAATAAAATATCATTTCAGCACAACAAATAAATATTGTTGGAGATGATACCATTTAATAAAGAATTGTTTAGAAAAGTTGGTGTCTTCATTAGATTGCATATTAAAAAGGAAATCCAAATGGCATATTTTATAGATCCTGTTCTCACCATAGCTGGTAATCTTAAAGAGTAAAAGGACAATCTATGATATTATATTATAGTAAACAAATAAAATGTGATGTTTAATATTATAAACAAAATAATGTTTAATATTATAGTCATTGACTTAAAAAAATAGATGCACAAAGGTAAATGAACAAGAAATCTTTTAGCTTAAATACAGCCCAGCTGATAAAAAGCTACAGAGGGAAAGTGCTTCTGGTGATTATTTCCAGAGTATTCTGTACTCTTGGTGATAAATCATGGCATTTATATGTCATTATAATTTGTAGTTGCCTATTTTGTCTGTTTGTAATAGCAAGAACAATGTCTACTGCTCACCACTGCTTTCCCAGCCCTGGCAGAGAGAGGCAAGGACTGCCTTTCTTTATAAACATGAAGTTCAGAAAATTTGAGCAACTTCCTTAAGTTAGTGTGGTTATTAAGCAGAGAAGCCAACATCTGAATCCATGTCTATTATCAAGTGTTCTTTCTACTGATGATCATTCAAAACCATATTGTATTTCTGTTGTAAAGAAAATATATTTGCATATATATTTTTTCACATGATAAACTGCATGTCTAATCTGAAATGTAGAAGAGGATTTCTATGGGGTTTATTAGGTACTAAATTATAAATATCAGCACCAAAATGCAGTAACAGTAACAATGTCAAACTCATTAGTGTTACAATTTTATGCTGGATATAATCCTGGAATGTCTCATAAGTATCTCAGATTGAATACATTCAAAACCACAATGTATTAACTCCTTTCTCTTACCCTCAAAATGAGTTTCTTCTCATATTATTCCTTAATATAGTTAATAACATCACCCTTGACCCATATCTCAAATTAGAAGCCTGGCATTTGAACTTTTCTGCCCTAAATTTTTATGCTACAAAATAAAAATAAACAATTCACCTAGAATAGATTTAAGTGCTAAAACCTATGGTCCTTGCAATCTGATTCTGTAGGCAAAGGCAAAAAAAAAAAAAAAATTTTTTTAAATAAAAGTCAAGTAATATCTGAAGTTGGATTATGAAGTCACTGGATTAGGCTTTCATGTAGTAATGAAGTTTTAGTCTGAGAGTTCTTGACTGGTGATAATTGGCTGGTGACAACTGTGCTTAAAGTGGTCATTACTAAAAAAAATGATACAAAAATAAAGCGGTCATTATTGTTGAATATAATTCTCAAAACCTCCACCCAACACAAAAGCTTTTGTTTTGCTTTTATTCATCCTTCATATCCCAAGTGTTCTCTGATAATCCTATCTAAGTAAGGTTTTCCTCTTATTTTCTATCAGTATGACTTTTTCATTTCTGCTTAGCATAAATTTCAATTTAAAACTGTTATGGTGAAATTATAATTATTAGAATGATTTATGTTTACCTACCTATTTATTTTAATAAACCATCAACTAAACTGTAAACTCCAAGGTCAGAGATTATATCTGTCACTGTTATAGAAACACATATTATAGTATCTAGTTTAGATTTAATTAAGCAGTCTTATAATTTGAGACTTTCAATAGATTAATTTGACCTTCTTCACTTCCTCTAAAAAAAATCAATATTCAAACTAGTTTTTTATTATATTAGTATTCTGGTTCAGCCTTAGAGGTTTAATTTTAAAATTACACTGAAGTGCTAATTTTATCTTTGAGGTATATATTCTAGGTAAAAATTATCTAAAAGGAAAAGAACCTTATTCCTAGGTAAAAATACAGAAAAAAAAATCCTAGAAAAAAAATAGATACCCAAATACACTGCTTTATTTGAATTCATTGTTATTTTGAACATCTAAGTGATAACTAAGGAAAAAATATTAAGACAAGCTATTTGTTCTCCTTAAGTTTTGTAATGAGCAAATTAACTTAATAGATGTTAATATTTTAATTTTTATGATTTCACTTTAGTAAATTTGGAATGCCAAGTTATTTTAGGATAGCATTTAATATTTCTTTTGTAATTGGGATATAATTACAAAGTTTTAAAAAGGCTCAAGAACAACAATGTTTAATTAAATTTAGCATAGATATTTATGTTCATGGTATATTATTAAGGAAAAGAATACTGCATCTTGAATAGTCCCATATTCCCAACATTTAGGTCTTAATATTTGGTGAATGACTAAACATTTATACTGGACTAAACTTTTAGCTTTATTTTCCAGACTTCAGAAATAAGTATGGCTTGTTCAGTTGGGATTTAATGTAAACAATAAATTCTTTTGTTTTAAAAATTCAAAAGACATGAATAAGATTCTTCTAACCAATTCAAGTCTTAGAACTCCATGTTTTCATTCAGTTGAAGATGCACCTGAATGGCACCTGAATGGCATTAACACCTGAATAGCATTAACATATATTTTATGTCTAGAATGTTCTTATAGTTTTTCTTCATTGAAGATTTAGAACCATAATTTTTTAAACTATAAGATCATATTGGTTATATTTGACACAAATCTAAAAGCGATGATATACAACAGTAACACTGTGAGGACTCTGCTGAGAAGGTTGTACCATGGTATGTAAAAGCAACTGCACTACATATATGAAGAACTGCTTGAGATCACTTCTAAGTTAAGTCCAGTTATAACATTCTTAAAACTCATGAAAAAGTTGGATTTAAGGAAGACAGCTATATAAGTTGTAAATCTGATGACAGAGAAGAAGCCAAGTAAGTTTGAAAAGTTACCTGCAGATCCCTTGAATAAATTTAGTGTACAGCTGATATCTAATACCATATCTTGTTAAATAAGAAGGAATGTCACTGTTAATCTTTTCATGTTAATATTGGATCCATCATATAGAAAACTTGAAAGCACAAATGACTAATTTAACCAGGAAAGGGACATTCCAAAAGAAAGCAGTTACAGCCACAATTATATCTGCTACTTAATTTATCATACATCAAGATGTTAGGCAGCAAATAAATGTCTAATCCTCTTTAACTCCCACACATGATTCAGTACTTGGGAAAAATTATAAGAAATAAATACTAAAAAATTTCCTTCCTCCCCCAAAGGTTGGCATTAAAACTTTCCTTCTAATCAATTTAGATTTGTTTCCAAGTATTAGGCAGCAACATTCCAAGATGATTATGTTTGAAAAAATTTGGAATGATACTAGAGCAGGGAGTTACCCCAGCCTGGACAAGCTAAAAAAAAAAAAAAAAAAATTTCTTATTTTGTTAATCTTACTTTTTATCAGCCAGAAATTCATTCATCCTTTGCATAAACAAATAACTTCACATCTATACTGATGAGTATGCTAAAAAATAACAAGTCTAAAACAAAGAAACAGGAGCTACAGAAAATACCTGTAGCTGTGATGTAGGAGTAGACATTTTACATGAAATTTCTATTGTCTTACTGTTGGCCTAATTTGAGAATCTGTGAAACAGTAAGTGGTAATTATCTTATAGTCCATTCATTTTTTCATTGCATTATCTTGCATGCAATCCAACCTTGACAAGTAGAGGGAAATATTGGTTAAACTTCCCAGACTCGTATAGTAGGACAAGTTTAAGGTGCCAAGGAACTGTACCTACTTTTGGTGTTGGGCAGGAAGCTGTAGAAAGGCGAGATGTAGCCTGAGCACGAGGCGATTCTGAAGGAGTAGTGCTGAGGGAAGCAGTGTCTCGTGGGAGCACCTGAACGCCACGAGATATGATGGAGTCTGGAATCTGAACAAGAAAAACAAGGACAGTTTAATGTTCTGAAAATATCAACAATATTAAAATCAATGCCCTACTTTATTTATTTATTTATTTATTTATTTATTTATTTTTGGCGGGGCATTCTTTGCTGAGTAGCTCTCATATATTTGGTCTCACTCACTGTTAAGTATAAATGCATCCAACAATTTGGGATAGGAGAGAAAACTTCAGTTTTAAAATACTTTCTCTTGCCAAATAGTATTTCATGACACTTTTTTATGAGAGGCAGTCTAGCATTATAGTTAAGGAGTAAAGTGTTGGGGCACCTGGGTGGCTCAGTGGATTAAAGCCTCTGCCTTCCACTCAGGTCATGATCCCAGGGTCCTGGAATCGAGCCCCGCATTGGGCTCTCTGCTTAGCAGGGAGCCTGCTTCCCCCCCCTCTCTCTGCCTGCCTCTCTGCCTACTTGTGATCTCTGTCTGTCAAATAAATAAATAAAATCTTTAAAAAAAAAGAGCAAAGTATTCAGCATTCATGTACTGGCTCTGCCATTTAATAGTTATTTAAATCCAAGATTCATTGTTTATGTACAACACCCAGAGCTCCATGCAATACATGACCTCCTTAATACCCACCACCAGGCTCACCCCCCCGCACTCCCCTCTCCTCTAAAATGTTCAGTTTGTTTCTCGGAGTCCACAGTCTCTCATGGTTCGTCTCCCTCTCCAACTCACTTTTCCTTTCCTTCAAAAACTAATGATGTATTTTATGGTGACTAACATAACACAGTAAAAAAAAGAAAAATTTAATTCCTAGATATTTTCCATTTTCCTTTCAGATTCTCCACTCTTCATCCTCTTGACTCTAAGCTGACCTGCACAGATAGAATCAACAGGCTACTCTGTGCTCTCTAGTTTCTAGTTGGGTTCAACCAGTGCCAGGAAACTGAAAGGTTAGAAGAGAGTAGGGTCTAATCTTTATTCTCCTGGCTCCTTCTCTACCAGGTTACCGCAGGTTGGCTAAGTCATAGCTCCTGGTCAGGTTGGCTCAGTCAGAGCCCCTGGTCACCTGACGGGCTTGCAGCTCTTTTCTGGATTTCAGTAGCAGTTACCTCCCTTTGCCCCATTAGGACTACGGATATTGATGGTTCCCAGTATTGCTAGTCCCAGGGCACTGCATTGTGTCTTGCTGTTTTCTCTAAAATCTGCCCTTTGTAAACACTATATTTCCTTATTAAACTCTTCTTAATTATCCATTTAACTATGCTATGACTTCTTTGGGGACACTGATGGTTCTGCTTTTTAAATCATCATTTCCTTTACCTAAAAAAAAAAATGAAAATAACAATAGCATCTACCTCACTGGATCACTGTTGAGGATTAAATAAGATAATGCATATAAATTATCTAGCACTACAAAGTATTAAATACTCAATAAATATTGACTATTATTACTGATATTATTATACCATATCTATCAACATGGTAAAAATCGACGTAATTGAGTATCACTATTCTAAAAATATATGAACATAAGGACTAATAATGTGGATTATTAATTTAAAAAATTATTATTTATGTTGATTATAAAATTATTATTTCAGGCTATGTATAATTTAGTTCTTGTTCTGGGCTAATACTAATGGGATTAGGTTTTCTAATCTCAAAATGAGAATGTGACCACTTTTAAGTTTTGAACACAGAGGGGACACACACAGGTGGGATAAAAAGATAAGCAATTAAAATTCAACTGGTAAATATCACTTACTATGTGAAAACAAGGAAGCAGCAACTAGACTTTATGACTAGAAAGGTGCTCTTGATCTTAGGTATCATCTGTTTCCTCACAAATTTTCATAGAAGCTCTTTTATTTTGTTTCCATACCAATATCCTCATTATCAATGGTATCGCTACCATTTTAGGGCCTAACAATTTATGTGACTTATAAATAGTATTACCATACTTAGGGTGAATAGCAGTGGGAATCCTGAGAAGAAAAATTGCTCACCTGCTAGCACATTTGAGTATTGAATTGAGATAAATAATGTAAAGAAATGGAGGTAGATAGTCCAATTTAAAAGAGCCACATGTTGCCATTAATATCTAGTAAAAAAAAGGCCATGTATTGGGAAAAAAAACTCAAAGAAAGCTCCTATTATACTTCACATGACACCATGGCCCTCTATTTCATAGCAATTTCTACAGTTATACTACATTTATATGTGTGATAGTTTGATCAACATCTATCTCCCATACTAGAATGCTGTCATGATGAAACCATGCTTTTGCTAGTATTTTATGTCCAGTACCTAAGAAAGCACACGCACAAAGTAGTATGAATGTATGATATACAGATTTTCAGACTTGCAAACATATGTGTACATACACTACACATCTTTCTCTCTGTGTATGAATGTAAACAGGACAGCAGGATATTTCAGGGGAAAGATAAGCTTAAATTTGAAGTACATTCTTTGAGGATAATAGTCTGGAGATACTCAATGAGCAATTAGAAATATGAGCCTGAAGCACAGGAAAAATTTACGGATTGGATATATACTTTGGGAATTATCAATGGAAGTGAATGTTTCAATCATGCATATGTCTCAGATCATCCAAGAACAGTATGTATAGGAACAAAAGATGATGGCTGATAATTCTAGGTGAGCTCCATATTACAGGCTTAACAGAAGAAAAAATTAAGGGGAAAAACAATCTGTTAATGAAAAAACAGTACATCCTATTTTTGCTATGTTGAACAATCAGGATTTAAATCTATCACACTGGATCAATTATTAAATAGCATATCTTTTCACTTTCAAAAGTACTTCACTTTGGAAGATAAATTATTTAGTTTTCATATATTTAAGAAACTGTTAGACACAAAAGAGAAAATCAAGACAGAGTGAACATAAGGGAAGGGAAAAGAGAAGAAACTTTCAAGGAGATGTTATAAAATATCAACTATGGAGAGAAGATAAGTAGGGTGAGACTTGAAAAACAGCCATCAAGAACTGGAAAGACTCCACCAAAAAACTGCTAGAATTCAGTAAAGTTGCAGGAAAAAAATGAATGTACAGAAATCTGTTGCATTTCTATACACCAAAAAGCAGCAGCAGAAAGAGAAATGAAGGACTCAATGCCATTTGTAATTGTACCCAAAACAATAAGATACCTAGTATTAAGATGAACCAAAGAAATGAAAGACATGTACTCTGAAAACTATAAAACATTGGTGAAAGAAACTGAAGATAACACAAACAAATGGAAAAACATTCTATGCTCATGGATTGGAAGAACAAATACTACTAACATGTCTATACAATCCAAAGCAATCTACACATTCAATGCAATCCCTATCAAAATACTAACAGTATTTTTCACAGAACTACAACAAAGAATCCTAAAATTTGGGGCACCTGGGTGGCTCAGAGGATTAGCGTCTGCCTTCGGCTCAGGTCATGGTCCCAGGGTCCTGAATATGGGAGCCCCATATCGGGCTCTCTGCTCAGTGGGGAGCCTGTTTCTCCCTCTCTCTCTCTGCCTGCCTCTCTGCCTATTTGTGATCTCTCTCTCTGTCAAATAAATAAATAAATAAATGAAATCTTAAAAAAAAAATCCTAAAATTTATATGGAACCATAAAAGACCCCAAATAGCCAAAGCAACCTTGAAAAAGCAAAGCAAAGCTGGAGGCCACACAATTCAAGACTTCAAGTTATATCACAAAGTTATAATGACCAAAACTGTATGATACTGGCAAAAAAATAGACACATAGATAAAAGGAACAGAATAAAAAACCCAGAAATGAATTCATATCTATATGGTCAATTAGTCTTTGACAAAGCAGGGAAGACTATCCAATGGGAAAAAGAGAGCCTCTTCAACAAATAGTGTTGAGAAAGCTGGAGAGCAACATGAAAAACAATGAAGCATAAACAATGGATTCTAGAACACTGAGAATAAATAAAAATAAATAAATAAACAAAAATTAAAAAAAAAGAAAAACAATGAAACTGTACCATTTTCTTACTCCATAAAAAAAATAAACTTAAAATAGACTAAAGACCTAAATGTGAGACTTGAAACCATAAAAATCCTGGAAGAGAACACAGGCAGTAACCTTTTGACATCAGCAGTAGCAACTTCTTTCTAGATATGACCCCAAAGCAAGGGAAATAAAAGCAAAAATAAACCATTGGGACCTCATTAAAAAAAAAAGTTTCTGAATAGTGAAGGAAACAACAAACAAACTAAAAAGGCAACCTACAGACTGCAGATGTTTGCAAATGACATATCTGATAAAGGGTTAGTATCCAAAAACTATAAAGAACGTATAAAACTCAACACCCCAAGAACAAATAATGCAATTAAAAATGGGCAAAGACATGAATAGACATTTTTCCAAAGAAGATATACAGATGGAAAACAGACACATGAAAAGATACTCAACTTCACTTCATCAGGGAAATGCAAATCAAAACTACAATGAGATATCACCTCACACCTCTCAGAAGAGCTAAAATCAACAATAAGAAACAACAGGTATTGGCGAGGATGTAGAGAGATGGGAATCCTCTTACACTGTCAGTGGGAATGAAAATTGGTACAGCGATTCTGGGAAATGGTATGGTGGTCCCTCAAAAAGTCAAAAATAGAACTACTCTACAATATAGCAATTGCAGTACTAGGTATTTAGCCAAAGAATACAAAAATACTAAAAGGCTTACATGCACCCTGATGTTTATAACAGCATTATATACAACAGCCTAATTATAGAAGTAGTCCAATGTCCATCAATTGATGAATGGATAAAAAAGATGTGGTATACACACACACACACACACACACACACACACACAGACACACAGACACAGACACACACACTATGGAATATTACTTAGCCATAAAAAGAATGAAATCTTGCCACTTGCAATGATGTGGATGGAGACAGATAGTATTATGCTAAGTGAAATAAGTCAGAGAAAGACAAATACCATACAATTTCACTCATATGTGGAATTTAAG